GCAGAGTTTGAGAATAACTGGCATTAGTGTTTTGTTGAAAAAGAATTTTAAATAATATATTTGAGACCTAATCCAATGTCTATGAAATCCATTCTTCATCAAAGCAATAAGAAATCATTTTTTTTGCTGGATAATTAAAGTCTGATTTGTACTCTTTTTTATTTTTAAGTCAATGGGATTTCTTTGGTAATATAAGTATTGAATTGTGAGTATATTGAATTGTGAGCATTTTTAATTTCTTTTTTTGCATAACTTGAATAGCAATATAGCACTATCTTTATGAGCACCCCTTTATATATTTTAATAGTAAGATGGACAAGTTAGGCCCACCACTGCGAGCTGGAAGAGATGTGCAAAGGTTTTATGACACGGATACAAAAACAGACAGTACCATCAAAAGGCCAGATGAGTTGTTGCCAGTAAAGAAGTGAGTGTTACAAATCAGTGTGGTTTATCTATTTTGCAGAAATGTTTCTCCTGAGGAGAAAAGTGTGTCCTTGACGAGCACCAGCTTCCCAGTATGCCCTCCGTATAAATGCTGTGGGAGAAGAGTAGATGATATCATTAGTATCAGAGCGAGGTAAACAGCCTCATAGGACAGGGTAGATGAAGGTTTCCCTCAGATTTGATTTCTTCTGTCAGTGCTTGATTACAGATTAAAAGTAACAAATTTGCATCTTGATTGCAGATTAAAAGTAATGAACTAGTGCCTTTCTAAACATGAAATAAAACTGATTTGCATGATGCAAAACTGAAGTAAGCATTTATGCCTGATAGCTATACTGGTTTTTGACAAAGTAAAATTGTAATCTTATTCTCTTGAGGTCAAATATCTCTCTAACTCCTACATCTGTAAGGTAGCTGTGATGATTCAAAAATATGAGGAAAGCAGACTTTGTAATGAAAGGAGAAGTCTTTGGTTAAGTCCAACTTACCTCATATAAAATTTCTGGATATTCAGAAGTCTTTATAAGGTCTAAGTTAGGAAGGAAGGTTATTCCAATTATTCTAACCATTTAGAAAGGAAATAGATACTAAATAGTAGTTAAGCTTTTGTTGTATTTTGGAAGATGCCAAATTCAAATAGGCTGTATTTTAATATTCTAAAAGAGAAATAAGTAATGAATTATGTGGCACATACATGGAATGTATTGCTTTACATAGTAGAAATGTGTCTGAATCTCTTAATGCTGTAACCAAAGATGTAGTATCTTTGAGAGAGGGACTTTGGTTTTGAAGAATCAAAAGCAATAAAAGGAATGGGAGCTCTTCTTAGACAAACAGAATTTCTTTGTTTTTATTTGCTCCTTTGCATGTTTGGTTAGAGTTATAAATCCTGTGAACCATCAAAAATTAGCTCTGTTTTTCATTTTGTAATACATTATTAAGATGTTGAAAATTTAGCTTGATGGATTACTACAATTGCTTAAAACAGGCCCTATGCATAGAGCAGTGATTTGATTTTTCTTCTCAAGAAAAATTCTTTAAAAGTTATAGGCATTTCTTCTGCTCTTCATAGAATCCTGTTGTTACTCAAGTATCTACTTAGTTCAAGAATTAAATCTGGCTTACAGGTAGTAAGTTATTCAGTATATTGCATGCCAACAGCACTCAGCAAGTGTGAATAGTTCCTAAACTTTCTTAAATTGAGCATAGCAGTGTGGGTGGTTGCAGTTTATGACAAAGGTTTCTGGACTTTGGGACACATGCCATTAGTCAGCAGAAAGTTATTTATGACTTTACACAGAACTATGAGCTGTTGTGGGTAACAGTGACAGCTGTTAAGGATATCTGAAAGCACTCTAAGAAGCAAGATTTATATATCAGTGTTTTATGATAGAATTAAACCAAATCATACATGCATACATAGAAAAATACAGGCTTCTTTTACAAATTACTTTCAGATTTTTATTTTGCAAGCAGTGGTAATTCAACTAGATGTACAACATGAGCTGTTTTAGGAAGGGTAGTCACTTTCAATCTTACTTCTTTTAAAATAGAAAGTGGATAATAAATTTCTTCAGAATATGTCTAGATTTTAGGAATTCCTGCTGGTGTTCGTACACAGCCTCATCTGCTGTCAGGCTCTATTCATACTTCATGTGATACAGTGTAGAGCAGGAATTTATGTATCTTTTCAAAAACAAAACACAAAACCCAACCAAACAGGAAAAGTAACAGAAGTGGACAAGGATATAGAGAAGGCAGAGATGGGGCAGATCAGAAGAAAACAAGCTGTGGTGGGACAAGTTGAAATAACCATAAATGCCTGATTGTTGGAAGGCAACTGTCTCTAGAGATCAGATTGTTACTTAAGGATGCAATTTCAAGATTTGTCACCAAACATACATGAAACCTGATGCTAATTTTGTGTCCAGATTTAGGCTGAGTAAAGTTGTAGACAGTGGCAGCCTACTCCTTGTGTTCATTTGCTCATCAGAAATGTCAGAAATCACGGAAGGGGTAGGGTTGGAAGGGAAGTTTCTGTTCTGAAAACATATATTAGGTTTCTTCTATATTATTAGAAAACTAGTTGTGGAAAAAGACAGCAGAAATATGCAAAAAGCTGTTTTTAAACATCTTGGAATGAAGATGTCCTGTTAAACCTTTAATGAACCATGTTTTATCTGTTCATGAGACTTTGCCTCCTTTATACAGGGTGGACTCTGCACTCTGCTTTTCAGTATTTCGATGTCCTCCCCTTCCCAGCTCAGTGGCCTGAATGCTGTATTAAGACACTGATTTCTCTGACATTTCTTTACTATACACCTAGTACAAAAGCACCATGTGAATTATCAGAGTACTTAGTGAGATAAGGGTGTTTGATACACTTGAAATACAGGGAAGAATAGTGGACTGGTTTTCACATCAGTTTATTTCAAATATCTGGGACTCCTAACATAATGTTCAAAATTGATCCAAAGTACACTCTGAAGAGACTTCAATTTAGGAAATTAATGTTATTAGTTTTGAAAAAGTAGCATGTTGGTCCCAAGGTGAAAATGCAGAGAAAACGGCATCAGTAATAATTTTGAATTTTTGTTTTCCAATTACTTTAAACTGTCTGAACAGGAATTGAGGCACAATTCTATTCTTAGCTTCATTGTGTGATCATCCCTGATCCATGATGATCCCATAATGTTTCTGTGTTACTATGTTTCCCATAATGTTCTTTTTTTTCTTTATATGCTTTTCTGTCTTCCATAACAGGTAAAGTAACAGTCCAGTATGTTCTTTCTACTATGGAGCTCTAAAGAGTTTTACTCAATTTTAAGTAAAGGTCCCTCTTCACTGTATAATGAGATGGGGACAATAGCACAAAATGAGTATTGAGCATCTGTACATCACAGCAGTGTAACTTAGGTTGCATTTAGAACTTTTATTCTAGAATTCTGTAACTCCTGAAAGACTGACAACTTCTACTAAGTTTAATTCTGATATAGCTGATGCAGTGCTTTTCAGTCTGCACAATTTTTTTTTTCAGTTAAGTCCATCTTTAGAATCTCCTTGCAAAATAAGGGGGCAGACAGGGAAACTAATGGAGAAGGTTAGTGTTCTGCCCAGTGATCCATAATCTTTGGTCATTCCACTTTACCTGCTACAAGTAGAAGCCATTATTTTTAAACTTGAATGCTTTAATTAGATATAATTTCAATTTAAATAATCTTGCATTTAGTTGCTGGTTTCCACCTTTGTGCTTAATTATTTTATCACTTCTCCACTGGTTGAAGTGATAGAAGGAGCTGAAAAGCCATCTTTATTCCATGTGCATGATATGAAGGGAGAAATGTTTTATGCAGCATGTCTATAATTAAGGAGTTATTACATGTTCCTTAATTGTGTCAGCGTTGCATTTGAAGTTACTGGAGTTGAATGCATTTCCTTGTATGTAGTTTGAAAACCAAACCAAGACCAGGCAGTTTATAATTCTTAAAGGAGCAGTTAGGTTTATCTGAAGGGAGTGAATGGTCTCTCAGTGACTAATTTTTTTTATGGAGTCTTGTTTTAATTTTTTTAATGTCCTTGAGTGAGTCCCAACTTAAATATTATTTATGTATTGGTGTTCAAGAATGAGAACAGAAAAACTTGGTCATGCACAAGATTTCATAGTCTGAAAATTTGCCAAAAAACAAGAAATCCCAGTGAATTGTTGTTCTTTTGAGCAATGATGAAAACTTCTGTCCTTGATCACTAATGATAAAATTATGCCCCTTCCAATTTATTTTTCTTAGTGCTCCTCAGATTTTTTTGGATATTCTGATGTTCCTCTACTCATCAAGCCAGCAGCAAGATGTTCTCAGTGTTTGAGATGTGCTGGTCATTGTATACTGACTTCTCGTAATACTCATGAGTCTAGAGGGGAGCAGCTTCCATATCTGTGTGGTCATACTATTGATCCCAACTTAATGAACACTGTGACAGTTTAGAAAAAATTGAGGCCCTAATGCCCACCTGGATACACTTTCTTTCTTCTTCTATTTGTATTCATAAATATAATTGTTCTTTGAAGAAAAAGGATTTACATCATTATCTAAAAAGAAAAAAAGTCTTGTTCGCTCACTTCATATTGGTCACAAAGTATTGAAAATATGGTATCCTTTCTACAGATCTTAAACTATTAAAAGCCGCAGTCATCTGCTCTCTATTTCCCTAAGAGACCTGCCAGTCCTAAAAAGTGACTTACAATTTGTCAAGGTAGACATTAGAATGTACTGAGCAACCAATAATGCTGGATCTACCTGTTAGTAAGTAAGACACATAAACAGGAAGGGACTTACTGTTTCATTTAGCTTGTCATTGTAAGGTTCAATTCATAACAGTTTAAACCATGCAAGTTTGTGCCAAAGCTCCTCTGTCTGCTGGTAGGAAATGAGTTATTTTTCATACAGATAACTAATGTGTAGATTGATGCACTTTTTTATGTGTGTACATATCTACATATATATTTGGATGTATTTCTCTGTGTGTGTATAAAACATCAGATATTTCTTCTATTTTAGAGGCACAACAAAAACCCGGACATCAACCCCTCCTGGTGTGGCAAGAGCCATGAGCACGGGTGCTTTGACAAACAGAAGGAAAACTAGCAATTCAGACATTCACTTAAGGTAGCTTTTGACTTTGTGGACTTTGTCATTGATAAAGCCTTCATTAAAGGGGATTACCTACCACAAAAGAGGTTAGGGAATGTATTCTTCTCTGCAGTTAATTGATGTTCAATATGATTTGGTTTGTATAAGGTGCTCGATATATTTTGCATGTTTATCATCTGACAGCACGCCTTTGTCATCAGCTGTCTCAGATGTGCATTTTCCCTGTTGGAAATGTGAAAAACTGCTTGGGAGCTGTTGAAAAAATAACCAAATATTATTTCAGTAGAAACTGAATTAAATCTGCGTGCTAAGCACACAAATTGTCTTGCCCTTTTAAAAGGTAGGATGAAAATTGTATTGCTGGTTTAGTCTTTCTTTTTTGACAAGCTAAGTTTTAAGTTTTCAAACACTCCAGTTAATCTAAGTAGTCAATGAAATATTTGATCCTGCTTCTCAAACTCTAGTGGTTTTTATTTTCTTGCAGGGAAGGTGGGTATCTGGAGATATGTATGGGAGCCTAGCTAGCATTGTATATAAAATGTACCACTCTCTATAGGAAGTGATGGAATTAAAATGATAGTAACAGTATCTATATTCATTGCAAGGATTATACTAATTTTACATTGTTATACTGAACTGACTAACAGAGAATGTTCTTCATCTGGGAATTTTCAGGTCTGATGGGAAAACTGGGTATGACAATGGAGACTGCGCATCCTCAGTGAATGGAGGAAGTGCAAAAAGCAGTGAAGGAATTTCACCTGTACAGTTATCCAAGTTCTGCCATGAATGTGGAACGAAGTATCCAGTGGAATGGGCAAAGTTCTGCTGTGAGTGTGGAATTCGAAGAATGGCTGTGTGAACACATTCTTTAAAGCAGAAACAAGGAATTGGAACATCTGCTATGTACTGTGCATGGAAAGCTTGAGTACTCCATCCAGTTAGACTTCATGCTGAAAAAGTCAAAACATCACTTTGTAATTTTCTGAGTGCAATCTTCTGGTTACAAAGTTATTTATAAACAATGATATATACTGTATATAAAATAGCAGCTACCTAAAACTGTGCCATTCAAGGAAATACTCTTTACTCTTTGTTGAAAATATTTAAAAGTAAGGTAAAAATGCTTTAAATAACCTAGGTAGCAGAAGAGGTTCAATGCTATTTTTCTTTGTAAATCCTACTAGGCAAAGGATTTTTTAAATCTCTTATGTAGGGTAATGCTTACCTATGGGGAACTAGCCATGAAAAACTTGGGCTTCAAAAGTTTCTCTGTGGAGGCATTTCTTTCATCTATGACAATAACTTAGATGCTGTGTTCTAAGTGAAAACAACATGAGGAACTCCTTATAAATTCCTAGATAAAAGTGTAAAAAGTTTAGATCTTTAAACTCTTTAACAGTAATATGCTAATTGGACTTTCCAGTTGCTTCCTAGGATTTTTTAAAGAATCAAAGTGGAAAGACTACCTGAGAATTCCCTTTGCATCTAAGAAGAAAGGCAAGATTTTCTTTTTGTGGCTTTCCATGTTCTGTTTTTCAGTAAAAATGTGTTAATATTTTTATGTATTTATAAGGAAAAATATGGTATTAATTTTATTATTATTCATTTTATTAAGTTCCTTTTGTTTCAAAATACTTGTCTTCCTCCTCCTGTGCTCCACCATATCTAAAGGTGTTGTGCTTTGACCTGTTTCCAAAGGTCCTCCTAGTTTTTTCCTTTTCCCTCATTTCCTCAAGCAAAGTCGAAGTCTATGCTTATCCTACCTAAATGTTGAACTCTTATTTTGAAAACAGCCTTCTTGATGTATCCAATACCAAAAAAAATAATAGTTCTATAAAAAGGAATGCTATTAGAGCAGTAGTCTTGATGTAAGTAGTGAGTCTTTTTTATTCTTATTCCTGTGAAAATAACACAGCGTACACATATGAATGAATAGGGGAGTAACTGTGCTTCACTGCTATATGTGTCAATACCTGAATTTTAATTTTTTTGGTAATTTTATGTATTTCTGATCCCAAAACAGCAGTTTCTTCAAGTTAGTAATAGACTTCACATTAATCCATTGGGAAGAAGGGAGAGACTCAAAGTTGTAGGGTTTTTTACTAATTACTCAGTAAATTAGTAAATTACACATTTAGTAATAAAACCATTCACAAGACCAAATCACTTAACTTGTATCTTAATGTTGTAATTTATTTTGTGAAGTTTTGCTTTGAAGTACTTGCACCATCTTCATTATTTGTAACAGAACAATCTGAAATAACTTAACTGTGCCTTTCCCACAGTAAATATATTTTTTGTCAGAAACTGGTACTTTCAGCTCACAAACACCATTAGTTTCAATTCATTTAATTTCTTTACAACTTAGATAAAATATGATGTAGTACTCCATGATAGTTTTATGGTCCTTGCTTACATTCTCAAAAATTGTGGTTATCAATGGTGCCAATTTGGAAGAAAGCATGATTGAAGAAAAACATCTTCAAAGCAGATACCAATCTAAGAGTGAGTGATTTAAGAGACTATGTAGTTTTGTTGCAGGCCACAAGCTATTCATGTTTTAAAATAAGTTCAGTGAATATCTTGCACTTTTTATACATTTTTTAAAATAAATTCTACTTCATTCAATTTAATCTTTTCACAATTGGTGTAAACTGGCTACTGAGCATGATAGGATGGATGACTGGTAATGATACTTAGAACTGACAAATCCTGGCCAGTTTATTTTCTAGGAGTTTAGATTCTAGGATCCATATTATGGCACATTCATGTTTGTATTTAGAAAAAACTGGAATTCTACATTCTTTACTTAGATAAGCCTGCTTTGGAGATCTTGCCCTGGACTTGGGCCATGGAGGTCTGCAGACTGGTGTATTGTGAGCTGAGAGTCCAACAGCAAAGATACCAATCCAGAACAGGTTTGATCAGATAGTGAATCTACTCCTGCCTGATGAAGCTGCAGTTGTTTCTGCTGTAAAATGCATTTTTCCATTTATTAAAAATACTTTCTACAAAGGAAATATTTAGTACAGCACTAAATATCTTTCAGGTTTTACAGGATTGTTGTAACTCCAGGAAAAAACATATTGACTCTTTCTCCTTTGAATTGTATGTGGCAGATCTCCTAATTTCAAATCAATACTCATACAGTTACTGTATCTTCTGCTTTGTGAGCTTCTGTAAGATTCTTTGCTTTCAATGCAGCATTTAGTAAATTACTTGAGTAGCTCATAATTTTTTTCATTTACACTTATGTGATTTATCATGAGGATTAGATAGGGAATTAACCTGAACAGAAAAAAAGGTTTTTAAGACTGATCTTTTTATCTGGCACTACAAAGAAGGTCTGTGAAACAAAATTGACTATTGATAGTAAAACTGGATAATGTGTATGTGTTGTAATCCACAGTAAATATAAGCAGACAATGAAATTCTTTTTGACTGTGTAGTTTGGTGCTGTATGGTAAGACTTACAAGGCCCAATATATTTTGTGTTTATCAACTGGTTTTGTTACTGAATGACATAGTATTCTGAATTCTGCGATGTTCCAGACCCTAGCCTGTATTACTCAAGGTATCAGCACAGATCAGTGTAATTTCATTTCAGTGGATGTTTGTACCATACAGTGGATTGGTTTTCATTACATCCCCAAATAACTGAATGTGGGAAACAAATTTTTTATATTTAAGAAAAAAAATTCAGGGAGTTGAACTGAATTTTCAATCTTTAGTATATTACATGTGTCAGGAAGTTCCCAAATCTAATTTATTGGTGATCTACATCCAAACCCTCTTGCCCTAGTCTTCTCTACATCCTTATGCCTTGGTTTTTTGGGAGGAAAAAACATGAACTATGCACTGTCTGTTTATAGTGAAATTTAGTGATGCAATCGTTGTGATGATTCCCATACCAGTGTATAACCTTATGACAGATTTACTGTTTGCCATTTTATCTTCCTAATGTTCTTACTAAGGTTCTTCCAGTCTTTAAAGAAGGTGGGGGGGTAAAAGGTCAACGGTAAAATTCCATTTATAGAAACAAGAAGAGGCTGCTTTTGGTGTTTGGCTTGAGGGAGTTTACATTCCCATTCTACTTTTGTGATTTTCTCTTTTACAAAGGACCTCTCTGTGCCAGGAAGTAGTGCAAGATCATTGGAACTATGCTGATAAAATGCAATGGAGTTATGAAAAATGCTAGCTTCAATAGTAAAAACAGCATAGCATAAAGCTTAATTGCTATATAATGTACCTTACACAGGCTTATATTTATGCATGATGCCCACACCCTAGGTAGTTTCAGAACTGGAATCTCCAAATATACAGCAATTAAAATATGTATTTATATGAATAATTACTCACCACTGCAGGGAGGTGGGCACAGGGAAGTGCTTAACCCCCATTTCAGGTTGTAACTATGAAATGACATACAGGCAGAAGTTTTCAAATTTGCCAAAGAGACTGGAGGGAGGGGGAAAGCTCCACCTGACGTTCCCTGGCTGGGAGGGGGTCAGGCACGGGCAGCTCTCCTTGGTGCTCCAGCTCTGGGCCTCTCCCATGTTTTGGGGCAGCAGCTGCTCCAGTGCAGCCACACGTCCTGTGCCTTCACAGCAGGGCAAGGCACAGGGTGTATTGTAACACCTGACCCAGGCTTTATGCGTCATGGAAGTGCTCTGCCATCTGCAAGGGACTAGCTCCTAATTCACCATCACAGCTGAGAGCTGGTGCCTGAAATGCAGGGAGAGCATTTCCGTGATGCCTGCTTACCGAGTCAGCGGGAGGAGGTATGACTGCAGTACTTTAAATAAACAAGATACGTGCACACTGATGTAGACTGTGTAAACAGTCTGCATATAAAATAGAATGGTATTGTCTATGTATTACAAAGGTCACAAGAAGTGCTAGTTTCCATCACATAGACTTTGTATATCTGCAAAGAACAAACCTGTTATGAGTGTTTTTAATCTTGGCTGAAGAAATTGTGTTTAGTAAGAGCACTTTTTTCAATTTTATTTCTATCCAGTTTGACTAAGCTATGAATAGTTAAATGGGTTGTATGAGAAGGTGGAATTTTCATCTTTGGTAAAATTTGTTTCAGTGACTGGTGAAAATAGTTTAATTGGCTTTCAAGTACAGCTTATTCTAACTTGTGATTGTTTTGTTGCTGGTTGGTTTGGTTGTTTTTTTTCCATCTTGCTAAGTAAGGTTTGAGTGACCTTATTGTGTTGTTGGAAGAAGTGTTAGGTAAAAGACTTCATTAGCTGAATTCAGTAGTTACTTGGTTGATATTTTCGTTCCAGTATTCACAGTCTAAGAGATTACTCTTGCATACTAGTTCATTTTTTGTTTTGTTTTGGGTTTGGTTTTTTGGTGTTACATCAGTCCAGAATAATATATATTTCTGGAGGATCCTATTCAGTCCCATTCTACTTCATCTTGCCAGAAAGCAGCTTCCTCATATTTTCTCTTAATAAGTGTTCATTCTTAACAAAAATAATCAATAGGGAAATTATATTTTCCTAATTTAAACATTTTAGTCAGCAAATCAAATGCTCAGTTTAATATGGCTGAATACTGAACCCACGTTCTAAACAGAAGTGCATGGTTTACCATAGTTCTGTATTTCAGTTTGGCTTTCTGGCAGAACCATGAATGGATTTGGGTGGGATCTGTAAAGTGCTGAGTACAGTACAACTGTTACAAAACCTACTTTATTTGATTGCTTTGACTCTTGGTGTTCATCCTTCATATGACACATAAATGTTTCTCTTCATAAGTTTATTTATTAATGTTCTGTGTTTTTAAATTGTGTGTTTATTCATGTGTTGGACGTGATTAATTTTTTCACCATTGCATTTATTATGTTTGCCTTGCCCCTCAGTACATGGAATATTTGTTTGCGACCATCCAGTGAGGTGTTTTTTTGCCAGAATTCCTTGATTTGTTTGCCTCTTACTTTTTTATATTATGTTTATTTTAAAGTGTCAGTTGTGTTTTAATTAATAAATGTAAATCACCACCTAATGCTAATTTGGCACTTGTTAACAATAAAGCAAATATGCCAAGAAAGCTTCTTGTGATGTGCAATTTTTTGTAGTCAAAGGTAAAATTATCTTCTATAACAGAGCATACAGGTAGGTAATATAATTTCAGTCGTATTGTGATGTCTGATCTCAGGTACAAAAAGAATAGGGGTTTTAATTGAGTGAGATGAGATTTGAATTCCTAAGTCACCTTGAAAAACATACCAGATATTAAATCAGTGTGAACTGCTTATATCAAGTTAACCCTCTATCTCCTCTATTTCCCCAGCTATACTGAGAATTTACTTTATGTAGAGCCCATCACCGTGACATCTTTAGTATTTCTTTTTTTTCTTCTTCTTAATAATAAAACTGGAAGGGATAGTTAGCTTGATCTGGGTTTGTTCTCCTTCATGACATTAGAGCACTGTTGTATTGATGAAATTATTAAGAAAAAAAGGAAAGTTGTTTATATTTTTCTTCAGAAGTTCATTTATGTGAGCAAAAATTTCAATAAGGGTATGGATTGCTTTTTTTTTGGCTAAATATGGATGAATAGAGATTAATGCCTCTTATCATTCTTTTTTTAGGGGAAACTTCCTTCTACTGAGCTCTTTAATGTACTTGGAGAGATATAGATTTGAAGGGTGGACTGTTCAGTGGAAAAGGAACTGACTGAATGGATTCAGCTGGAAAGTTGTGGTCAATATGTCTATGTCCAGGTGGAGGCTGTATCTAGTGCTGTCCCTCAGGACTCTTGTTTTAAAACTCTTGTTTTGGTGCTCTTTTAGTATCTTCATCAATAACACAGTGAGATTGAGTGCACCCTGAGCAAGCTGAAGGACAGGATGCCATCCAAAGGGACTGGACTGCCATGACTTCTCGAATATCATGGATAGTGACTTGGACACTTCCTCTGCCAGTTCCCTCAGAACCCACAGGTGTATTACATCAGGTCCCATGGACTTGTGTAGGTTCTTTAGATGGTCTCAAACCTGAAACTCTTGCAACAACATTGTGAAAATCCTTTCCATTTAAATACCTCTATTTTTATCCTTGACGCTTTCCCATAAATTCCATGTACTTCTAAATCATGGTTTTGACCTACTCATTTCTTTTCTGTGGCCAAATAAGTAACTAAATGCATAAGTGAAGGTGGCAGGGAGGTAGGCATGATGGTGATGATACCATGCACCGTTTTCATTCCTTTGCCAGTTGCTGAAAAGCACTTTAGTGCCACATTTGCAAGTTCAGGAAACCTGAGGAAGTTCTCAAACTGAAGGAACAAATCAAAGAGCACAAGTCAATGCATTTAGCAGTTAATGTTTACATGTAAGTGGTGACAACAGGAAATTTGGCAACAAAAATCAGACAGGCAGGATATTTATTAAGAGAAGTAATCAGAAGAAATCCACAATTTCATAATTACTTCATTTAAATTTCTGCTCTGGATCTATCCTTGGTCTTTGGCCCAGGGTGATCCTGGAATTGCTTTATTTCTCTCAAGACTTAAGTTGTGGACTGCTGCTTAAGTAACTTAAACTGACTGACCTTTCAGTTTTGTAGTAGCTAATACTGCATCTGTGTATTTTTGTTTTAACTCACACTGCTCTTTGCTTGCCAAATGGTTATTAGGAAATAAGTGCTGGCTTTCAACTGTTGTTGAATTTCCAAAAAAATACCAAAACAACTGTACTTCAGTCTTGGAGACCAACTGAATCCGCAGTCTCCTGGGTCCTCTTTCAGAAGAAAGGATTTCCAGTGAAGTCCTTACAATTGTGGTTACATTCTCTTTATCTGCAGTTGATACTGGGAAATGTTTCCCTGTTCCATAAAGATTTATGGGTTGGGGTTGGTTTCAGTTTTTTAAGGTGTTTGGAGCAAGTTGCTATCTCTTGTACAAAGAGCTAGAGGATATGTGAAATTCTCAGTCACAGTTTACAAAGCTACCACTCCTGCCTCATTGTCACCATAAATACATGGGGGATTGGAGAGGGTGTATTTCAGGAAAGCATGGCATGCTTTGCTCTTAACCTCTTCCCTCTCAGATTCAGTACAGCAATCTTATTCCAGTAAAATACATAAACTAGTGCTGTTTACAATCAACTGAGCAAACATGTCTTTGAAGCACATCCTACTGGTTTTTAGGGTGTTTGTTCTGAATACCAACATTTTTACAGAGTACTTTTACAGAAAAATTCTTTTAGCATGGATAAAACAATTTATGTTAGTTTACTTCAAACCAGGAAACAACAGGCTGACTAAACTAAAGCTTTCCTGAAGTATTCAGTCCAAGGCAGGTATGAAAATGTTTACCTAAATTGGGCAGGTTACAAGCAGCTAAGAAATGGGTATTTCAGGTTGAGAATTTGAAGCTGAGCTTCAAATGACTGACTATCTCTGAATAAAACCTAAAAAACGAGTAATGGTAGCCAAAAAGTGAACAGCCCAATTTCACAGAAGACAAATATTTTATTACCAAAGGAGTTATATCAAAGTAAGAAACTGCAAAAGTGTAATAACTATAAAAATACTTCTATTTATTCAAAATAAAATATGAGCACTTTATCAGTTAAATGCCAATATATTATTCTCTGACAATATTCACATATTTTAAGTCATGTTTGCCTAACATCTTAAAACATGTTACATAAAATATTTGCATATAAGAAATCACAATCTGAAGCTAAGGAATTCTAGCTCCTCCTGCAGCTAACACTGGGTTGATAAAATGAATGAGTGTAGTGCTGTTTCCAGTCAACTGAACAACTTACATTCAGGCATCTTTTTCTTCTTCCACAGGATTCAGTCTTGCCTGTGCTTCAGCCAGCAGAGGCATGCTGCATCTCTCAAAAATCAGTACCCTTCTTCAGTTTTTCAAAAAGCTAACTTTTTCCCTGTTTTTCCAAACCCAAATCAGTTAGCAGACTCATCGGACCCATACCAAAACCACTTCTGTGTCAGGAGAACATATCCAAGATAATCTGCTGCTTTGGTAAATTGTTACTTTTGGTCCTTGGTGTGTTTTGCATAGATATAAAGAAACCAGCTACTTTTTCATACTCTTTTTTTCTTCACCTGCAGATTCCATGGTTTTTTTGTAAAATCCAGTAGACATGTAAGTGGCTGCTTTGATATGACAGTACTCTAAAGTTACTCGAAGAATCGGAAAATTCAGGGTAGTTTCCAGAGCGCAAAAGGTGGACACAGACTTCTGCAGAGTTCTTTTTTTCAAATGCTGGTCTTCTATTTCCACTTCTCAGACTTCAGCAGCTTGGTTCAGCCATTTCTGCTTCTGTCATCTCCAGGAACAAGGTACAGTAGCCTCTCATCAGAATTCTGGCATAAAGTGTTCATATAAGCGAGCAAGTTTACTTGAAGAATGCATATAAAATGCAAAGGTACCAAGTAATGCCACTTTGAAAGAAAAGAGCAGGATTCACCTGGAATCACCTGGAAATTATTTTTTCAAATTTATTCCAGCAGGATCGAAGGCTAGATATATTTTCTTTCAGTTCACAAACTTCTTGGTTACATTTCTTTTTGGACTGTTCACCTGTCTCTGTATCTTCTAAACTAAATACATCTGAGCAGACCTGAAAGAGAACAGATTGAATTGTTATCTGAGAAGTGCTTATTCTATTTTTGTAGTCACCTTTCAAAGCAAACCAATTGCTTTACACCTGAATACTGGAGAGACCCTGCCCATGGGACTGTAAGAATGTGGTTTAACTCAGAGCAAATAAGGACATCTGAAACAAGCGTGTCCAACCGAGAACATGTACATCCTCCATCACAGATTAAAATTTATCCTCCATTGTCTGAAGGACTGAGAAAATTTGTGAGGTAAACTTTGACTATATGTGTCAAGACCAATGGAACAAGACAGAACAGTTCCAGGGGCTGATGCTGTGCTCTAATGTTCAAGATCTCAGCCAGACAAAACTACTGTAGTTCTTGTTCATCTTCAATGACTGCTCATATTTTTTTTCTAAATTACTTTAATTAAAATTAAATTTTTAAATAAAAGCAGGAATCCATAAAGTTAGGCAGAAGTTGCAAGGGTGACACTGACTTCTGTGACTTGACTGGGATACCTTTAAAGTAAGGCAAATGTTGGATTCACCAGAGGTGACAAAGCAAAATATAAATACCAACTTTTCTTTGAAGATAGTGTCCCAGGCTGTCTCTCTACTTCAAAGAGAAAAATAAAAAGCTAAATGAAGCCTTCAATCCATCTGTTTAAACATTGTATTTTTCGTGCCTATGAGGAGACTTTTTGATGCTGGTTAATATTTTTGTGTTCAATAGGTAACACTGAGCCACACTTAAAAGAACATTCTTCCTTTGCTACAGCAGTCGGTAGAACACTGTGCTACATTTAAGTAGCACCTCAAAAAGAAGATTCTGCCAAAGACTAAAAACCTAAATATTATCATACCCAATTGTTCTTGTTGAATTTGAGAGATTGTGGTTAAAATAAAGACCAAAGATATTACAGAAAAGAGAGAATCTCACCCTAATTGTTTGTTGAAAGAAACCAAATTAAACATTACTCTTAGAGTTAGTGAGAAGTTACAACTCTGACAATACTCCAGAGAAGTTTAAAAGCCTTCTTTGCACAGGTCTGGTCCTTGTCTCTCACTGGAGAATTAGTTAGTGAAATTCAGTTCACCACTGGACCAGAGCAGGTATCTTCACCATAGACCTCCAGATTATTTTCTGAGTCTTTGCACTGGGCTTAATGTCTATTACAAGACAAATACTATACAGAGGAAACTTCCTTTGGCATGGAACATGTGCAAGATGGTTGTATCTTTTAGAGGCAAATGTATTGAAGAGCAGTCTGTGTTGAAGAGCAGTCTGTGTTGAAGAGCTCTAGAAAATAAGGCAAGTAGTTAAACTATTACTCACTAAAGTTGAGCACAACTCACCTTTTCTTTTTTACGTCTTTCACATTTACACTGTAGAACTTGTAATGTCCCACATGAGACAAATGCTGCTTTCTGTCTAAAGGCTTTGTTGATCCTCTGCTTATAAAAGAACCTGAGCATGTTGCACGCCATGCTCTGTAGTGATTCTATTTCCTGTCAAGAGAGCAAGGAAAATATGTCCTGAAAAGTTTGTGCACCATTAATTATTTGTAATGTTGGTCTATCTTTAAAAAACCCCAAACTCTCAATCAATTACTATTGGTTTCTCTTGTTTTCATAGTATACATCTTTTTCAATAAAATACATAAGTAATCTGACTTACCTGCCATCTTTTTGAGATATTTAAAGCAGCAATTTTTAGTAGTAATAGTAGCATAAGTATGTTAGGGAGAAATCACAGCTGTAATCAAATCAATTGATGCAGTTAGGAAAACAAATGATTTATGCAGCCAGTCCTTTTACCAAGTCGTGAAAACATCTGTAGCAACAGCTGACAATTGTGCTTTCTGGCATTTGAGATCTGCCCAAACTACTATTGTAAAGCTTTCAGGTCTGAAGTGAAAAGTTTAGCTAATAAAACTTTCTGTAAAAAAATTTAAAAAAGAGATTGGGAAATTGTAATATTTACTTCCATTGGTAAAAAGAAAATTATCTATTTTGTTTAAAAAATATAGAAAAATCTTCATAGTAGGGAATAAAACCCCATATTTATTGAATATGGAATTGCTTAATATTTAAATGTTTAAAATATCAATTTACTCAAAACATATAATTCCAGATTCAAAAAACAAACCATCCTGAACACTGTGACTTGACTTTTAAAACCAAATACTACCCTATCACCCTATTTTATCCTGGACTGTAAAAAGAACTCACTTGGGCTTGTATTCTCTACATTCTGAAAAGTTAAATTTTACCTCAGTATCATTGCAGAAAAACACTTTGATATTTTCATATTTTCTCTTCCTGCAGCACGAGTCATAATTCTCTGCAGACATATTTACCTGTAAAATATCATATATGTTTAGACATGGAAGTATTGTGTCAGTGCTCAGTCACCCTGACAGTAAAAAGCTCTTTTCTGATGTTCAGAAGGAACCTCCTGTGTGCTGGTGTGTGCCCACTGCCCCTGGGCCCATCACTGGGCACTGTGGATAAGAGCCTGGCTCTGCACTCTTTGCCCACTCACTTGAAGTATTTCCACACATGGATGAAATCCCTGTGAGCCTTCTCTTCTCCAGGCTGAACAGCCCCAGCTCTCTCAGCTTTCCTCATCAGAGGGATGCTCCAGTCCCTGCAGCATCTTCATGACCCTTTGCTGTACTCTCTCCAGTAGCTCCATATTTCTCTCATACTGAGGAGCCCAGAAATGGACACAAAACTGTTCAATTTAAATCTTCACATTCTATCAAATTGCTTTGTTCTTTGGAAATTTTGAGACAGAGAGCAATGTTTAAATCTTACAATTGAATTGTAGCATTGAATACAGTGTTTGTCAATGTTTGTCTCAATAAATACATGTCTCAGCTCTAAACAGATGGCAGCATCCACTTTGTATATGTAATAACAGAAGATGGCCTAAGCAACATCACATGGTCTTTTGCCTGATTATAATATTTTATCAACACTTTATCGTCTCTTGTAGTTTTTGTTCCACTTTCACACTTGTCATCAAGATGACAATGGAAGTCAACTCAATAGAAACTTTGTCTTCAGCCTGTATCAAGACATTCTAGTTAAGCCAAAGGGCTTTAAAAAAGGCAGCTCACAACAGTATTGTTTTAGATCTCTTCACTTAGCCATGCATATGAGCACATCAGACAGTTAATTCCTAAAGTTTTTCTGCAGAAATTGCCTGAATTTCAGAAGGTCACCCAAGATAAACAGAACTTTATCCAAAATGCATTTTTAAAACCAAGAGTTTAGGGAATCAAATATTCACTGACAAAGGAAAAACCACAAAACAGCAAAACCAAATTAAAAAGCCCAAACCACAAACATCAGGAAGCTAATGCACATCTTTTCTTGCACCACAACAGGTATTGCTCCAGTCACAGCACCAAAAGTTATAATTACATATATATATATATATATATATATATATATATAAAATCATCCAGAAGCTATAGATCTGTCACTTTATTTGCTAACTCCTATGAGATTTTCCCATCCTCTCTAGCTTCCTCAGATCACCTTTATTATAATGTACAGTAACCACATCTGAAGGTAGTTCATTGGCTGTGTCTAAACCAACCTAAGGGAAATCCTGAGCTCAGAAAAGGCATTAGTGAAAATTTAATTACCTTACAGAGATCTAGTATATGACTCACTATCCTGCTCTGTAGCAAACCCACAGCTGCTCCAAACATCTGGCTAAGGAACTGAAAGCTACTGACTTTGGCTCTGCAGTTGCAGGAAACAACTCTTAATTTCTCTTAAACAGTGAAAAGTAAAGGCAGAAAAAATTAAGAAACTTACATAGTAGTTGCTTGTGTATGTCTTCTAGGAAGTAAAAGCTTCAGAGCTCAGTACATTCCCATTAGTTTTCACAAATATTAATTCATTAAGGTTTTATTTATGTATTTATTTTGATATATAACATCAGGCTCCATCCTACAATAGGACAGTGGCAAGGCATGGCCCTATCCAGGCCAGGAGAGTCCCCCAGCCTCCCTGAGCAGGGCTGGGATGCACCTCATGGATCCCCAGCACCAGAAGGCAGCAGGATCTGCTTCCCAGAGGATGTTATTCCTTCGTATCATTTCCTCTTACAGGTCAGCTATCTTCTAAATGCTCACCAAGAGAGTTTGGTTTTGTTCTCTACTTGTCTTTGTCAGAAATACAACAGCAAACTAAAGGGAATACTCCTCTATTCTAATATGGCCATTAATATTCTCTCTAAATTTGATGCCTCATTCAGGATAAAGTCATTTATCTGCAGAGAAATACCTTTCTCTCTTCATAATCTCAACCAACATAACATGATCAAAATGTTAAAAGATCATTCCTTGACCCTAAAGGTATTTTGTTTCCAGATGAGGGTTGATGTGTCTTGGGTTGGAGACCACTGCCATAATGCTCTGAAGGATGGTGGTAATTCATAAGTGTGAAGAAATGCAATGATTCCTGATTTTTCCCTTGGAAAAAGGTTGCATATTATTTGTATTTCAAGCAAATAGATCTTGATTTAAGACTGCATGTGATTTAAGTATGGTGAATTCTCATTTAGTGACAATCTGTCAGGAAAATCACATTTTTTGTGGGAATGCCTCTACTAATACAACTGTTTTAATTGTTCTCCCCTGGAAGTGTTCTTGACAGATTAATTGCTAATAATTCATGAGGAAGAATTGGAAGGTAAATTTTGGGCATGGACTGGTAAACTGTTAAGAAACTATTTTGCAAAGCTATAATAAATGTGGCTGATAAAGCCATAATGGAGGAGATTTACACATGAGAATGTTAAACTCTTCTCTGCTGCTATCTAGAAAAGATACTTTGTTTTGGCTAAATAAGATATATTAATAGGTACAAAGAAACCTATTAGGACACAAACAAACTTTTACTGTCATATGAATTTTGTGCCACTGTGCATTTGTATTCAATGGACAACATAAAACTTCAGTCAAGAACTCTAAGTAGTAGAACAAATTACAGCTGTAATGCTTTCTTCTCTTGATAAAATCATATAAAAAGAAGTAGTAATGAAATTACTTTAGAAAAAAGTACTTTTTAATCAAATATGTGATGTATGGCCAAATAGTACATGTGTCTGTACATAATGCACAGGCACAAAAAACTGTATCACAGTATTTGTACATGCAAATAGGCACTATCCACAGATTTCAGAGACTTTAAAGAGACTGAATTGTTCCACCTCCTCAAAGAAAACCACCATTCCAGCATAATGTGTGACTTTAAATTGGTCTTTTGTCATGTTTTAACATTAGAGCTTTTATGAATAATTGTTAGCATCTAAAAATAATCAGCATGTTTTGGAAGCCCAAGAGCTGCTACCTACCAGCTCATTGATGTCGTGACTTAGTATATTCTCATACTTCACACGGATTTCTGTTGTTTTATTTCCCATTGCACAAGTAGATGCATTCACTGGAGACAGAACAAGGAGTAGTGGCAGAACTGGTAAGGTAGATCTAAAAAAGGCTGGATTGTAAGAACAGTAAGGTACATGTTAGTTAATGTCACAGACTGTGTGCTGTATTAACAAATACATTCTGTAATCTGTTAAAATAGTTTAAAAGGGATCTTTGTACAACCAAATGACTTGTGCCTTGCTAGAGGGAAGGATTCATCTCCAGATTAAGACACTTTTTGGGTGTCTAAACTCCCCCATACCACAAGATGATTCAGCCAGTGTGGATAAGTGTTGTGGCATTGTTGAGGGTCCCCAGGATGAGGTGAGAGATAAGAATTTGACTCCAAGTTCTCAGAAGGCTGATTTATTATTTTATGATTTTATATTATACTATATTAAAAGAAATTATATACTAAAACTATACTAAAGAAAGACAAAGGAGACATCAGAAGGTTAGACAAGAATGAATAAGAAAAACCCATGACTGACCAGAGTGTCCAACACAGCTGGACTGTGTCATTAATTAAAATCAATTCACATGGAACCAATCAAAGATGCACCTGTTGGTGAGCAACCTCCAGAACACATTCCAAGCAATCAGATAATTATTGTTTACATTTCTTTTCTGAGGCTTCACAGCTTCTCAGGAGAAAAATCCTAGCAAAGGAATTTTCCAAAAATGGTATGGTGAAAGATAAGAGCCTACAGCTATTGAGCTGACCAGCTACTTGGTGACTGTTTGGGCTGAATTCATCCTCAGCATTGACCGAATTCACACGGTATTTTATTGGACCGTAACCACATTGGACACATGTAGAGAAGTGTTTAATCATATTATGTTTAGACATTCAAGTGTCTTAACCTGCAGCTGAATCTTGACTGTCCATTTTTCCTTTGACAACTTCTACAAATCTCCATGAACACACCTCCATAACAAAAGCGTGTTTAAACACATTTTCAGGCTGACCAAATGTACAAATCCATGCTTACTGGCCATAACATGAGATAAAGCAGCAACACAACGTTCTCCACAAGATTTCTGCAATCTTTTTGAGCAAACTTCACTGCCCGTCACTTTCTTTGTCTCTGTACTGGACTGCTTTCCCTTGCTCTGACCCCTGGTCTTCTGTCTTTGCATGACATCCAGGAAACTATGAGTTCTGTGAGGATGGGCAGAGAGAAAAGACCAAAACATCAAAAGAGCCTGAAGAGACTGACAGGAGGCTGCAGGTGACTCACCTGGTGCTGGGAAAGAAGGAGACCAAGTACATGATAATACATGATCAGGAATAACTGGACTCAGGCCTATTGCTAGTCTGACTAGGAGAATGCTTAAATTGAAGGTTTGGGAAAAACAAAGGTAGAAATTTATGATGGAGGACTAGCAAAGATCACAGCAAGTTCCTGGAGGAGTATGCAGTGTTTCTGCCCATCTTCACCACTGGGTAAGAACAACAACTGCACAAAGAGTAGCTGTGGGACAGGAGCCAGAAAAGAAAGAGGGGATGCCCTGGCTCCAGCTGCTGCTTTCCTTCCTCTCTGTCAGGGATGGGCTGTTGGGTACAGCCAGTCCAGCACTCAAGAGATGGGCACCTCTGGACCTGGGCATCACTAGTGAATCATGGCCTCAGAGAGCAATTTTGAGCAATTAATAAAACAGCAATAAAACCTGGTGATAATTTGCATTGACCCACCTATCCTCTGCAATGCAAAATGCAAGAACCACAGACACAGCACATGCTCACTGCCATTAAAGGAAACACAGTCCCTTACAGCCCATCCCAGCCAGCTCCCACCACACACAGCACACTGAATCCTCAAAGAAGAATGCATAGTGACTAGTGAAGCCTTCTCTTTCTGATAGATTGCATGTGAACGTGTGGTTATGTACACTTCTGTCCTAGAAACAGGACTGGAAAAATTTTACCCGCACAAGCTGAATCACAGAATTCTTGAGCAAGCTGCCTGAGAAATTCTAATTGGAAATTTCACAGGTTGAAAACCAGATTTTCTGACCTTTTCATATACTGATCAACTGAGGTCTATTAATGTCTCAAGAAATCTAACCTGATGGGCTAAGTGAATCTTAAATGGATGCTACATGTAGTAAATTTTAAAACTCTGTGACTATTATGATCTTCAAACTCCAAGTGGACACACCTGACTTCCACAGAGCTTTATCTTTGTAAATCTCCATGCTAACTGTATCTCTGCTGAATGATTTAACAGTTTGAAGGATTAAGATTTAGTATTTTAAAAGACACAAAAAATATTGAAGAATTCAACAATAGGGCAACATTTTTCCAATCTCCCATTGCACCTCTTGATTCCAGTGCAAAAGATGAACTGCAATGTTTGTTCACCAGTAGGGTAATACAAACAATTTGGATATGCTGCTTCACAAACATACTTGAAGGGACGAAAATAGCAATCCTCTAAATTAAAACAATCTGACTCCATCACTTTAAACTTGGCTTGCGCAGCAACAAGTACAGATAAGATATTGTACAGATCACCGATCTTTTTTAAATGAGGAAATTACAGAATAAAAGTAGATCACATGCACACTCATGAGGTCCCTTGAGCCACTGCAGGATGGTAATCAAAATTTTTCAGACATTCCTAAATGAGTCCTCTGGAAAAAATATTAGACATGTGTCATTAAAAAATTCTATGAGATCTAGACTGAAAATTGAAAGGGATTTTCTTGAAGTTGGGTAACTTCGAAAGAATGGGAGTTTATGGCGCTCCATATGGCCAGCAATTCAAAAGAAAGACAGCATTACTGGTAATAACCCATTTTTCCAGTAAACTCCCAGAAACGCAAAAGTCATATCTGGAAAGCCCCAAAAATTCTCCTAGAAAATCCAGGAAGAGCTAGTTTTCCAGTATTTCCACATATTAAAAAAAAAAAAAAAAAAAAAAAAAAAAAAAAAAAAAAAAAAACAAAAACAAAAAAATCCCAAAAC